TTTCCAGGCCCCATAGACATGAAAGAGAATTTACCTCTGAGAAGTGTGTGCGCAAATACAGATCTGGATTCCATCAACGAGATAGGAGTCCAGGTGATGGTCATTTGGTGGGCAACACCTGGGACTCAAGAAACCGGTTTCTGTCTAGTTATCATCATGCCCCCGAGGACCGGGGGTACCCTCGTCGAAGAACCTTTGCTGCTGATGTAACTGAGCGGCTAAGCCGTATGGATTCCCGTGATCAGAGATTTTATTCCTCAAAGTGTACAGAGAGAAGACCTCCAGGGTTTAGACAGAGGTTAGTTGTTGACGGGGATGACTGTTATAGAGGTCCTAGGAGAATGGGACCTGTTCGTAGTGGATCTGACAGTTATTATTGTTCTCAAAAGAGTAGTAGAGGAGACTTCAAGGGGCATGCAGGTAATTTCCCATTACCCAGTGACAATGGTGTGCTCTCTGTTGGAATGAGGCAATGTTATTCAAGGAAATCTAGGTCACGGTCAAGATCCTCTTCTCCTCAAGCCTGGCGTTATCGACAACAAAGAGATTGGAATCCTCCAAGCATGAAGCGCTGCATGTCTGGCAGATCACCCGATCCGAAGAAAATGAGGGTGATTCCTTCTTTTAAGAAGTCTTATGTAAGAGGAGGTGAGTATGGAGGAGAAAGGTTTGCATCCCCACCTAGACGACACTTCTCCCCCAACCGGAAATATAAGTGGACAGACGACCAACAATTTGTTGGTAAACATGGTAGATCACCAGTCAGAGAGATGAGCAGGAGTGAACGATTCGATGGTTATGGATCTACTTGGGATCGCCAGTTCAAGTCAAATGGCTATTTTAGACAAGCGAAGAGAGTTTCTGTGATGGGCGGCAGCGGCATGAGAAGGGGCTCTAGTGTGAGGCGTCCTGTTGATATTGTTAATGAAAAATTCGAGACAGCCGATGAAGAAAAGGACGTCGGTTGCTCTGATCAAATGGATGCACCGCAGGGAACCACTACGGGGGATAATGGTAGCAATAAATCAATAATAATAGCAAGTCTTTAATAATGCAACATTAGGCCACTTTTGTGTTCTTCATGGCCTAGTTTTTGCATAGGATTGTTCAGGAAAAGGAAAAAGAAATAACTCAATGGCCCATAGTTTAGGTGACTAGCCCAATTCTACGTCGATTAATTGGGCAGTATATTTTGTCGTAGGTCCCACATTTTTTGCTTGGGAAAGGCCGGTTTTCGTTGTTTAACAAGTGCCTTCTATTTGTATTATATATTTTGGTGTAGAAAATCCTAGACATGGAAGAATGTTTCTTGTGGTCATAACATCACCAACTAATGAGGTTCAGTTGCCTTTTTAAGTTGAAGACTTGAAGATGCCAAATCAATTGTGTTCAGACTTCAGAGTTTCTGCTAGGTTAAATGAATGAGAATCTGTTTTGGTAGGGTATTAACGATCCAGTACAAATAGATAGTAGGTGAAACTCAACCAAATGGCTGGCATCACACCAAGCTAAAAATTACCTATAAGATTATCGATATTCATAAAAAATATATTTGGTTTTATTAACACAAATACATATCAAATATAGTATATTGAGAAAACTGCATTTGGTAAGCTTTTCGTAGAAAGTTATTAGCTTCACACTTTCACAGGACCAAATTTAGAAACTCAAAAATATGACAATTGCAGTTGTTGGATACTGTTGCACTATATAACATTGCACCTAGTAATGGTTGTTACTATCATGGTGAGTATGACTCAATCATTACTTGGAAAATTTTATATTTAAATTTTTTCTTTTTTAATTTAGTAGAGCTTTTCGTAAGTGCGGATTTTATCAGAGTTTTTCTCTAGTCTAATTCTATCTAGGGGTGGACTCGGGTCTGGGCCGGCGGTTTAGAAATGGTGGACCCGGGACCGGCCCGGGTAACCACCGGGTCCGGGCCGGCCCGGCCTGGGCCCATTAAATTTTTTTTGTTTTCCTCTTCCTAATTAACCCCCTCCCACCTCCAACCCCCAAATCACCCCAAATGGCCTAAAATACCCAGCCCAACCTGAAAATTTAAAAAAATTGAAAAAAAAAATTGGTTTTGGCCCGAACCGGGGTCGGGCCTTGTTTTGGGTGACCCGAGCCCGGACCGGAAAACCCACGGGCCGGGCCTCCCCGGACCGGTCACTGACCGGGCCATCGGGCCAGGCCGGGTCGGAACAGTACCGGTCCCGGGCCGGTTCCGAGTCGGGCCACCCGGCCCGAGTCCACCCCTAATTCTATTATAGAAACTAAGAAAGACTACGCGTATACATATGTTCAAAAATATGTTTTGATACTTAATTAAAACAGTTTTTTATGTTCAAAACAGTCAATTAAAACGCGTATACATAGGAGGTGTTTGACAATCAGCTATTGGCTGTTAGCTGTTGATTGATTGTGTCGGCTGTTAGCTATTGACATATTATGTTGGCTGTTTTGATTAGCATGTAGTATTGGCGGTTTATAGAAAAATGTTTGGTTACATGACTGTTTATAATTAGCTGATAACTTGTTAAATAATTTTACATACATTTGATTAATTTTTATTTACCTACTTTTATGTAGTACTACATACGGAGTATATTTTATTAATGTTATTAGTAGAATTACTTACATGATTTTTGTTTAATAATAAAATTATTCCGAGCAACAATTGTTTTAAACATTGTTTTCTAGTATTATTGAATTTAATTAGTATGACGGTATGACCATCAATGAAATATGAAGACTATGGTTTCATGGTTTAAAAAATACACCTCAGACCCTTCAAGGTTTCAAAATTACATCTCAGAATCCCATGGCTAATCACCTCAGATTGAATTCATCATATTATCCAAACAAAACATCTCTTCATCAGTTTGAATTTGGCGTTGGCTATACACAGAAAAATACGAAATTGCTTTGAATGGGTGCACTGCAAAAAAAAATCATTAGAGGAAGAAGACCACCTTAAACTAGCAAAATCGGATACGTTGATGCGCTGTTTGTTTCTTTTGTCCAGAAGATATTAAGGAAAAAGATAAGTGATGAGTGGAAGAGAAGGGTCTACGGGTAGAATGGGAAAATCTTGTAGATAATCAATCGGCCGAACACCTAAACGCTAGATCCGCCGGCGTTTTTATTTTTAGCTGTTTGGAGTGAAAAGCCAAATAAAAAAGCCATTAACCAAACACCCTAATTAGCTGATTGATCTGCTCAAAAAGCCAAATATCAATCAAATCAGCCAAAAAATGTCTAGTATATTCAGAAACTAAGAGTTTTATTTATATGTTCGATTAGTTTTTTTCATTCTAATGGTTTTCTTTGGAATTTCACCAAAAACTTATTAAGCTCCCTTCGTCTAGCTAAAAATTAAAATTGTGCAATCTTTCCTATTTGATCCATTTAACTAAAAATGTCTCATATCAAATTTGACAATGTTTGCAAGGTCCAAAATCATTATTATTTTATTCACTCTATCAATTTAATACGAATTACACAAATTTACTTCTCTTAATAATCACATCACCTCGTTTTTTAGCAATATTAGAAGGGCGAAGGTAATATTATGAGAAAGCTTGTACTTATATTTAAGTGCTCTGTATTTGTGATTGGGTTTATCATGGAATGATATCTTTTGTGGTACACTTACAATCCTATTTTGCTCAGGACAAATATTATCACTCCTGTTTTGTCTTATATGATGGCTTATTAACGACTTTGCTACTCATGCCTTCACCTTATGCTTCGTATCACTTTTGTTAAATGCTGAAGTAAACCACATACTCCGTATATTATGTCAATTCTACTTGTCGAGAACTAAAAGTCTAAAACTAAGAGTCTAAAAGCCATAAACCACATACTCATTAACGAAATAATGAGAATTTGAGAATATATAACTAAAAGTCTAAAACTAAGATAGTAGGGAAAATGAGATTTTCATACTTGTACTCTAATAGTAACATTAGTGATCACAACGATATTTAAATTTATACAATAATGAGTTGTGTGTATTGTTTCGATTAGATTTTTATTATATATATTTGGTTGTAATTGAGTCGTCAATTTCACATTTAGTTATAATTGATATTAATCTAATTTTGTGTTGCTTTCTAAACGCTTGCATCTGTTCATTAGTTAAATTCAGCCAAGTACAACTAAATGTGAAATTGACTGACTCAATTACAACCAAGTATGATATTAGACAAAACTTGACTAGATAGATACACAATCTTTGATAAAAAAAAATAAAGAATTACGCTCTTTGGGATCTGATCCTTACACTGCTTAAGGCCTGTTTGGATGGAGTGTTTGGAAGTGTTAGTAATGAAAGTGTTAGTAAGTGTTAGTAAGGGCCTAAAAGGGAAGGGAGTATAAATGTTAGACATAATTTTACCTTGTTTGGGAGAGTCAAATGAATGAAGTGTTAATAATGGAAGTCTTAATAATTTTACCTTGAGCCAGAAAAAACGAGTAAGGAGGAGATGAAAAAGGCAGACCATCAGACATGCGGCAAAGAGATTCGAAGTGAGATGTCAAAACATTTTATGTTTTTAGGGTAAATGAGAAGGGTAATAATTGTCCAACACCTCAAAACACTCCAAATCAGGGTGTTAAAAAAGTGGACAATTGAGGTGTTGGAAGGTTATTATTAACACTTCCTAACCTTTACTAACACTTCTTAACACCTCTTAATTTTTCTCCCAAACAAGTGTTAGTATCAACACTTACTAACACTTCCATTACTAACACTCCTTAACACTCAATCCAAACAGGCCATTAGGGATGGACCCGGGCCGGTTCGGTTCCGGTTCCAGGCCAGGCCCGAGCGGGCTTTTTTTGCAAATCCTTGGGCCCGGAACTGGCCCGGGTGGATACCGGGTCCGGGCCTAACCGGGCCGAGCTCGGTTCAATGTCAATTTTTTTTTTGCTTTCTTCTTATCCCCCGACCCCCCCCCCCCTCACCCCCACCCCCAAACCTCCCCAAAACACCCAGCCCTACCCTAGGAAAAGAAAAAAATTTGAAAAAACAAAAAAAAATTGACCCGGGCCCGGCCCGGTTTGCCCAAAACTGGGCCCGAGCCCGACCCGCCCGACCCACCCAAACGGGCTAAAAGCCCGGAACCGGCCAACCGATCCCGGTCCGGTCCTGCACAGTAGCGGGCCAGGCCGGTTTCGGGCCAGGCCGGCCCGGTTTAGTCCATCCCTAACACTGCTGCTCAGACTTTAGCGGAAGATTCTAATAATCAGCTATTTCATTTACGGCAGTAATTGACTACTATAAATGAATTGTTGTTTAAATAGACTACTCCGGCTTCTTTGAACTCTGAAAATGAAATATAAAGACTTACTTCTTCAACTACTGAAAGGGAGTGAAGTGACTCCTGGGTAGGGGTAACTTGACCTATAGAAAGGAAGGCGTAGTCTATAGGTGGCATAATTGTCACAGGATAAGAGTTGAGTTCTTGAGTGAGAGTTATTTAGTGAAAAGGAGTTGGGAGTGAATCGGGGATATATAATTGAAAAATTATACTATCGTATAAGCGAATTAAAACTAATTGTGTATGAAGTAATATAGGGTAACAACTAACAAGATTAAGAAACAAAGTTGTCTTAATGGCTGTGTGTTGTACAGCATATTCAATAGGAAAAGTTAGAACTGAGATCATTTTCAGATCGGGGAGTAATCTTTCTGATCAAACTACTCATTTATTAGCTGCTTTTCAGAATTTATCCTATTAGTATACTTGGTATTTGAAATCTTAGCTTATCCAGTTGCTTATGAAGGTACTATACAAAAGTTTATTTTTACTCAAGTTTGATGTACTTACCTTCTACCAAAAAAGGAGTTTAGAGAGGGAGGGCAGGACTCCCTATTAAACAACAGGAAGTTTCCCATAACAGGAAGTTTCCCATAGTAGATTCAGGGAGTGTTTGGGAGTGTTTGAATCTGATTCTTAAAACTGCTTTTGCTCCTTCAGGGAGCAGAAACAGAAGTTAGAGTGTTTGGGTGAAAATGCAGAAGTGATTATGGTGCTCTAATTTACTCCTAGAATCAGTTCTTTTAGAAGTTGGGAGTACCAGTTTCTGAAGCAGAAACAGAATCAGTTCCAAACACCACACAAACAACATGTTTGCAACAAATATTACTGAATATGGCTACTGATGAAAGTCTCATAGACATACTGAGCAGAAAGAAGATCAACAGCACCAGAACCAACAGATTTGAACACAGTAATTTCATCCTCATCCCTTCTCCCACTCTTTTCCCCCTTGATCAGCTCCACCAAATTCCCAAGTATGCCCTCCCTGGTTATTACACCCCTCTCCAACGCCCCGACGATCTCCCCGGACTCTTCCACCGCCGCCTCGTTATCAATGAACACTCTTCCCCTCCGAATGGCCTCATCATCGCACTCCTTCATTGACGGCTTGAAGGACCCCACCATGTCTAAATGCGACCCCGCCTTCAGCTCCTTCCCCTTCACCAATGGCGTCTCTGAGTTTGTTGCGCAGCTCACTATATCCCCCAACTCCACCACCTCCTCCAAACATCCACGGCTCTCGAGAATCACCCCTTCGAATCCGATTTCGCTTCTCAATTTCTCAACAAGAGATTCCGCCCTTTCAGAGGTTCTGTTCCAGATTATCACCCTCTTCAATCCCGGCCGTACGGTCAAATGTGCCCTGATCAGATGCGGGGCTAGAGCGCCAGCGCCGATCATCGCGAGCGTCTCGGAATTTTCCCTGGATAAGTATTTTGAAGCCAGAGCGGAGATACAGGAAGTGCGGTAGAGGGTTAGCTCGGTGGCATCCATGGTGGCTAGGGTTTGGCCGGTGAGGGAGCTGAAGAGCGCGTAAGTGGCGTGGATTCCTGGTAAGCTAAGGGCGGAGTTGTTGGGATGGTAGGTGACTAGCTTAACGCCGACGTAGGGGAGGGAGGGGGAGTGGGACCAGGAGGGCATGAGGAGGAGGGAGGATGAAGAGCTCGTGTCGTGAGAGGTGCGGGGTGGGGATCTGATATCGGCGGGAAGGGTGGGCTGGAGATGGCGGATAAGGGAGTCGTGCGTGACAAGGCGGCGGAGTGTGGCAGTGGAGATGAAGACGGTGGTCGCCATTGGGACCTTCCCAATTCCGGGGAGTCTGGGCGTATCCTCTATGAGGTCACCTTAGGAATAGCAATGGGGGGCGGGGCATCTATTTCAAGACTCGGACTTCCCATGACTTTTCAAGGTGGACCCGTTTGTCTAGCCATCTGCATCGACCCAAATTTGCTGAGGCATGACTCGGCCCGTCCAACCTCGACCGTAACCTATTTAGCTAGTATTCTTTTTTATTTGTGTGAAGTCGTTACTCGTTATTACTTCAATCTACACAAAGTTTATCTATAAATAATTATAAGAAAATTACTCCGTAATATATTAATTCAAAGTCGTAACATGCTAAATGTTTCAAAAATTAAGAAAAAAGTACTTTGACTTGAATAATCTATTTATATTAATAATTGAATAAATAAAATGATATATACTCCGTATAAAATAAAATACATAGACAATTCGTCGTTAATCTCATTCAAATATTAATATTAATATATTATATGATAAAAAATTTATGAATTATTATATACACAAACATGTATATATGTATATTTGTAGTATTTTTTTAAAGTATGCATACTTTATATTAAGCGGGTCGGGGCGACACGGGTCAATACTAATACACGGGACCCGCCCCGTTGTGTGAGCAGGGCGGGACAGACCCTCCCTCCTTATTGTGTGGACAGGGCGGATCCGCCCCATTTGCATGACGAGGCCTGCCAAACCCGCGCCCAAATGTTTCGGGCCAGAGCGGGTCCTCTCAGGCCAGTTTTTTCTCAGGCCAGTTTTTTTTACATGTGAAATAAATAATTAATAAAAACTACATACCTCTTGCTAATGTTGGGATATGAAGAGGTTCTGTTGTTATTAACAAAAGTGGAAAATGAGTTAATGTGGTTGAGATGAAATTAATAAATAAAATAAGAATTATTTAGAACACACAATTTTATAAAATTTGATATGAGATAATTTTAGTACAATGGAGCGAAAAGGAAAAACGAAACAATCTTAACGGGATAGAGTGAGTAATAATTGATATGTTATACAGAGTATAATCAGAACAAAACATAAAAGAGAAAAGTGTCAAATTTGCCCTCCTACTCTGTATGGAAAGTCAATTATACCCTCGTACTTAAAGCTTCTTCAATTACGTATTCCTACGTATATTTCATCAAAATCGTTTTTTAAGCATGTAACACGTCGCAGATTACCTGCTGATCTGGCGCACACATGGTCTAACACAGCGTACACGTGGCATGGCATGACGCACACGTGGCCTGACAGCACCCCCGTTAGGTTTTTCTTTTTCCTTTACTTTTATCTTTCTTCTTCTTCTTTTTTCCCTCTTCCCCGTTCCCCTTTCTTCCCTGCGCGGACCAGTTGCTTTGTTGCTGCGCGTTTCCGGTGAGAGTCACCAGTTTCTCCTCGGCGACCATGTGACAGAATCCATAACCTTCGGCTGGTCATCTTCGGTGGAAAACGTCGCGATGGCCTGTGGTCCTGCGGACATAGGCAGAGGTCTCGTCGTCAGAGCCACCGGCATATACGCAAGTCACCTATTAACCTTCATAGTGCCGTCGTTCTATGTATTCAACTTTTAATTTATTCTCTATCGTTAACGACCGACGAAGAATTAATCTCGTTGACTTCTCCGAACGTCGAGATTTAGGGCCTTGATTTGTCACCGATTTGGAAGCGGAAGAAGAGGAACATGGGATTCGTTCACAATCGAGCCTCGAATCGAATTAAACTCTAGTGCTACTCAGCCTACTCTTGGTGGAACTCCAGCTATCCCACTGAATCTTGACAAACCCATGCTTCAATTCTCCCATGGATGGTCACATGCGGATGAATAAGGAACATAAACGATTTTGGACATGGATGAAAGGAGATGAAAAGAGAAAGAGAGAAAAAGGAAAACGAAAAGGAAAAAGAAAAGAAAAGGAAAAATGATGTGGGCCGCCAGGTGTGCATCATGTCAGGCGGCTACGTGGCAAAAACATCAAGTAGGAGGACGTAATTGAAGAAATTCTTAAGGATGGAGGGAGTTGAAGGTAATTATCCAGTTGTGCCTTCAGAAGCTTAAGAATTTTGTCATGATAATTACGTCTCCTACTTGATGTTTGTGCCTTAAGAATTTCTTCAATATTTCCTTCTTAAGGTACTATTACCAGGTCAAAATCAATTTTGTCAAATTCTCTCTCAAAAAAAATCGTTTATTTTCCTTTTGTCAATTTTGTCAAATTCTCTCCCCTCTTCACAAACATCAATTACACATTTTTTACTTTATTAATCCGCGTACCAGTCTAACTTGGTCAAGTTTTAAGGGATGAAGGGAGTATATGGTTAAAATTATTTTTTCTCTACTCCGCATAGATGTCAAGAATATTATTTTTACTTTCTTATTTCAAATACAAGTCAATTTTGGTCAAGTTTTGTGTGGTACTAATTATTACGAAGCATCATTTTACAGCAAATAATGTTAATTTGTAGTTGGATCATCATGCTTAAATATTATGTACTCTCTCCGTCCCATTTAAAGGTTCCCATCCACTATTCTCCGGTCAACGTGCATTGTTCTTAATCTTTTACTTTATATATCCAACTTTTATCAAATTTAAATTTTCTTGATCAGGCTTTGTAGCGGTTTTAATGTAGTTTCTGAAAATGTAAATTTTATTTACTAAAAATAGTTCTACTAATGATAGAGATCAGTTAACTTTATGGTCAGTCAAACGTCGTAAACCATGCGGGAACGTTTAAATGGGACGGAGGGAGTAATACTCTATTTTGTATTTCAAATTAGAAATTGTTCATTTTTCTAACTTTATTATATTATTTTGTTTACAATGCTTTTCTGATTTTTTATATTTACACATAGGATGATGGTGTAAGATAATTATGTAATTTGCCTGTTCCACCAAATTACACATAGGATGAGGGTGTATGCGTACCCCTCAAGCTGGGGTTAGCCCCTATAATGTACACTATGATGATAAGGACGGGTAGTCTTCGAGGTAGGTGAACTTAGCTTTAGGGTAATGATTTCAAATGATTGAACATGCTTGATCAGGGATGAGTTCCCGATAGAATATTTTCCTTGGACTAGGAATTGATTTAAACCATGTCCGTGATATGGGAGCCCGAAGGGCCACCCACATGTATTTATCTTTTGATATCGGGTGTGTTACCCTGCAGGTGACTCCACCCAAGGGTAAGACATGAGAAGAGTGAATTTAATGAGACTGTTATGCCTAAATGATTTGAAAGAAAAATGTGCTCACGGGCCGGATATTTTAATCATATGTATATATGTATACAATAAGTTTTAAAAAAGGGTAGCTAAGAGTTATGCCCATAAATATACTATCACCCTATGTTGAGGGTCTCACGTAAGAAACATTAGTTATACTACGTACTCCCTCCGTCCCGTTGGAATGTTCCCGGTTTGACCTACACACATACTACCTCCGTCCCTTAAAACTTTGGCAAAGTTGACCGGCACGGAGAATAATAAAGTAAAAACTGTGTGGTTGAGGTTTGTGTAGAGGAGAGAGAAATAACAGAAACCACAAAATAATTGATTAAAAGGGAAAGTGATAAAGTTTTTTGGGATGTCCAAAAAAGGAAAAATGGCAAAGTTTTAAGGGACGGAGGGAGTATTAAGGAAATAAACTTACCAGGGGGGCAAATTTTACTGTTTTGACACTGTTTCGACACTGTTTGGCATTATTTCGACACCGTTTGACACTGTTTTGCACTGTTTGACCCTGTTTTGATGTAGGATAACTTTCCATTTAGGGAAATGAGAACTTTCCAACGGGACATCCAAAATGGAAAGCGGGGACATTCCAACGGAACGGAGGGAGTATTACATATAATTTGCTCTCGCAAGTACTTTTCCGTAGTACTGACCCCTCGGCGGATCACCATTTCAGGTTGAAGTTAGAGCTTACTTCCTGCACCCATTGTTTGGGAGATCGATGGAGAGAAGACATGGTTCGTGCTTCCTCTGGTTCTATTTCTAAATAATTAAATAATGCTTATGGAACTTGATGGAGTATATTCCCGTATACACCAGGGGTATCATAATCACCAGTATAAAGCATCACGGACTCGTTCCGAAGTGAGTGAAAGACCAAGTCCACAAATATGCCGACCCCGACCGACCAGGATCAGGAACAAGTGTCGGGCAACGAAATAACTAAGGACCAAGGAGCTGCCCGACCCCGACCTCGACCCCCGAGGTCGGGAAAACACCAGGCTCAAGAATCAACCGAACTCAACAAGTTATGAGCCCGACCTCGAGTCACCCGAGATCGGCATCAGGTCTGACCCCGGAAGTCAAACACATGGTCAACGAAAAGCAAACGTCAGACATCCAACTACCTCGAAAGCGGGAGCAAAGGGGTGAGTCCTCTCGTCACGAGCCCGAGCTCCCAGATATCGACCTCAGTGATCCCAAAGGTCTGAGTGAAGCATCATGGACTTAGACAAAATCCGCAAGGACCAGCACCACAAGGAAGTACTGCCATGTCATCACCTGCCGCGGATAAAATATGCCAGGATGCAGACGCGTAACCACACGGATATTCTGGTAGCAGTCTGTTGGAGATTATTCCAATCAGCCAGCTGTCCAAGACTATCTCTCCAATCACCTTTACATGTGACTGCTCCCCATCGAATCAGTCTGGTAGTTTGTTAGAATAGCTTTACATGTGTCCCCTTCCCATTTGGTCTATGTCTTTTTACTTGGGCACCAAGTATTGCCTTTTACCTCTTAGTATAAATATCACCTTCCGACCTGTGGAAGGGATCGATCAATCGTCTTCTCTATACACTTACTGTTATTCTACCGGATTGCATACCTGTACTTTCCGATCAGTTCACCCTCTCCTTTTAGTTGGATTCCGACCACCCCCGGTCCGATAATCCATCAGAACTATTTTGACTTATAAATTAATGGAGCACGCGAGCTCTTGTTTTGCCCTTGTGTGTAGGTTCTTATTATACACTTGTATTCCACTATGTGTTTAATTGTATGTTAATGTTGTTATGTATGTTTGTTGACTAATTTGGCATATGTTTCTATCGACATCTTATGTAATTCGGTAAGGATGAACTGCAATTATTCTTATTGGATTGTACGACGGTTGACTACGTGACATAGACGCGGTGTGGGGGTGTGACAAGAACTGTTACAAACTACTACCTCCGTCCCTTAAAACTTTGCCAAAGTTGACCGGCACAGAGAATAATAAAGTAAAAATTATGTGGTTGAGGTTTGTGCAGAAGAGAGAGAAATAACAGAAACCACAAAATAATTGATTAAAAGGGAAAATGGCAAAGTTTTTTGGGACGTCCCAAAAAAGAAAGATGACAAAGTTTTAAGGGACGGAGGGAGTATTTCTTAATATGACGGTTAGACCATTTGTAGTGGTGAGGAGTCGAAATTGTTAAATTTGGACCCCTCCATATGAAAACAATGTTTAGACTCCGTCAATATTGTTTTTCTCTGCATCCGTGCACTGTCAATAAAATACACTCACCATATTTTTTTACATATCAATTTAGTAAAACATTAATTAATTTATTATAAGTAATGTTTTCCGTTTAATATTTTCCCTAAATAATTATGAAATAAAAAATACACATATCGATGTAAAAATAAATAAATTTCATCAATTTTTTTAATGTTTTTCGGTTAACAAAAATGAACTTAGTTCAAGTAAATTTCGATTATAGAATATTCAGTTATTTGTAAACATTACATGAATTAAAAATTTGTGTTTCGTGTTTTTTTGGGCTCAATAAAACTTCAACAATTAAAACTCCATATTTTTTTCATTTTTTATATTACATATTGGTGTCGAATGAAAGCGTATAAAAAGTTATGAATTTTGATATATATTTTCTAAAAATTGATTTATAAAAAAACAAGTTATAACAATTTTAAGAAAGATGGAGTTTTATTTTCTGGGACCCACTTACTACCTTAGTTCAATGACCCTTTCTTTTTGGCAAAGTAGCCCCCGAGAGAGTCCATCCGCCCGGCTAGAATTGGATTCCTCACTCCCCATCTCTATTTTATAGCCTCCTAGATGCTCTCCAATGTAAGAAATTAAGAGTAAAATTTCCATTTTAACACTTTAGACTCCTAATACCTTACCACTACAAATGGTCTTAGGGAGTGGAAAATCTTTATATGTAATCCATGTGGACATTTCAACAAGGATATAGTAAGCAAATCACAAGCTACGGAGAGGAAAAATGAAACAAAAATTGCCTTCAACTATAAGTAAATGACAAGCAATTTATGAGAAAATTTCATATCAACTTTGAGCAAACATAGTGATCAAAATAAAATAAAGAGATACAAAGAGATGAACAAATAATATAAGCGGGAGGATGTCAGCAAAAACAGAAGAAGCAACATGATGATAAGAGGAATAAATGATGGTAATTTAGTAATGAACTGTAGTTGAATATCAACGGCACATATAATGATTAGAAGAGAATAGAGAACTTACAAAATGATGTGAATAAATCCAAAATCGATTCAGTATCAGGTGTCAAATATTTATAGGCGGGTGGTCGATGACTATTGAGTACCCAAATGAGCGTTTTGACATCCATTGTTGGACGCATGGCTCTATGAATGAAAAAGAAGAATAGGGAGAGTAGATCAGCGCGAAAGTAACGACAAAAGATAAAAGACATAGTCGGGTTTAAAGGCAAAGCTGACCTCCGTGGCCCCAGATTTGCTATATAACCGGTATAAGCTTGGAGTAAATATGCATGGAGTACAATCAGCGAATGCACAAATAAACACAGACATTTTTTCAATGACCTTTATATCCCTAACCATATTCATATATTCATGCTTATAAAAGAATTAGATAGCTAAATAGCAGGGAGTATATTACTCCGTAGTTGATTGGCTTTGGTCCCCTGTGAATTTTATCTTCAACCGTTGACCCAATGACAATTCGGCTTCCTCAAGGGATCAAGGCCTGATTGGACGGATATCCAAGAGTTATGCTAGAGGTACAAATACTTTTACAAAAAATCTTACAAAAGGAATATGTTACAACATTACATTATTTAACGCATCACATCACATTTACAGCACTTTTACATCAATGGTAATTAGAATACCACATTACTTGTTTGTAAGTTTTTTTCGCAAGTGTGTTTGTACTTCTATCATTTTTTCATATCCAAACCCTTAACTTCAATTGTCAATAACCCACTGACCACCGTCACTCTCCAGTCTCCGCAGCAGCGGACAACTCATTGGCGCCAAACAAGATGTACTTCTCCGGCTAATTCCGGCCAGCGCGATGGGGAGAAAAAAGTCTCTCAAGAAATCACCGCCGAAGACTCAACAAGCATCGATGATGACTTCTTCCGCCTCAATTTTTCATCTCAATTACAGGAAAACTTCCCTAACTGTTATGGTAATTCTCGCAATATGTTTGATAGCTCTCTTAAGCACTTCGACCAGCAAAGAGCGTGTGTTTGGACCGTCTGATCTTTCATCTCCCAATCAGTTGTACACTGGCGAAGTAATCAACGAGTTCCCTCATGATCCCAACGCATTTACTCAGGTTGGATTTCAGGCTCATTTCAATTTTTTATTTTTTAAACTATTCGTGCATGTGTTTTCTCATCGCATAAATGTAATACATGTTGGAATCAGTGGTAACAATCTCTTGGAAAGTAATTGTGAATAAGATGTGTTGAGACGTGCTGCAAAAGAGCTACGGAGTGATAATTTTAGCTGCGAAAATTCAGCCAATAATGAATAGCTGCTAAAGAGCCCCTCTTTAGTTTTGTGTGCTTAAGAGTAAATACTCCGAAGCTACTAATATGTCAAAATCTGGGTGTTGTGGTCGCCACATCTTTTGAATGTTGCCATTTTTAGTTGTTTTATAATTTTAGGCTTACAAGCTGCAGCAACTTTTTTATTTCACCAAAAATGATATCGTTCCACTTCCTCCTCCTCATCAATACCAAAGTGAGTCTGAAGTCATGTGTCATTGCAAGATTGATATTGCAAAATCAACTTCCATGGAACATGATCATCAATAAGCATTTAACTGAGCTCAATAGAAAAGATAACACAATCAATAACTTTTGTAATGATTTTTTGTGCCTATTATAATCCATGATTGTTACTACGTATTTTGTAATTCCCAGTATCTCCGTGTTCTCATGAGAATATTATGGGTCATGTAATTTCATTGCCTTTATGTTTATAAGGACATTACATGTCTTAAAATCGTCTTTTTGCATCTAATGTGATGTTAATTCTGTGTCAGGGCCTTGTATATGCTGAAAACGATACCTTATTTGAATCAACTGGACTTAATGGACATGTGAGTTTGAATTTGCCTTTCGACTCCAAACCATGGAGTTTTGGAACATGATGCTTGAGTTCCATAAACTGACATTTCTGTTATTCTTAACTGCAGTCATCACTTAGGAGAGTTTCTCTTTCGACCGGTGAGGTATATTATGCAAATGCTTCATTAGTGATTTCCAGTGAACTGAAACTACCCTATTATCCTGGTGACTTCAGTTTTTCACGTTAGTGCTAGTTATCGTAAACGAGTTATTGTATTAGAGGATAAAATAGTAAATTACTCCCTGCGTCCCAAAAAATTCTTCCCATTTCCCTTTTTGGAAAGTTTTGTGTGCCTACCATTCATTTACCTTTTTCTTACTCAACTACAAGTCTACAACTATACATTTTCACTTTATTCTCACTTTCTTAAACTCCGATCCAAGTCAAACCGGGAAGAATTTTGCGGAATGGAGGGAGTATTAAAACTATGATTGGGAGTTTGAGACATGGTAGAGAAAGGAAAAAATATCCCAAGGAAAATATTTTTTTATTTATGGTTTTAAATAGAAATCACAATTCATTTAAAAAAAATCAAGTGTTACATATATCTATATTACATAGACTTTATATAGTAGATTCATGTTAGCCGACCCCCAAAATCTTTTGGGACTAAGGCTTGGATGTGGTTGTTGCTGTAGACTTTATATAGTAGAATCATATCAATTGAGTTTGACAAAGTAAAAAAACAATTTATTGAGTTTGAACCATTATCTGCTATATTTCATTGCATTCCCAATTTCCCTCATATTTTCCTCCCTCAATTATCTTCCCCTAGAACTTTGTGAGTTCCAAAACGGACCCTATAGATGTAGTAATCTGTTAGCTACTTTGTATCTCAAACAGTGTTTGGTCACAGGTAGAAGCTATACGTGAAATGCAGCATTCTGATTTTGGGGAGGGCTTAACACTACTTGATGACAGGTCTGGCAAGAAAAAAGAAGCACCTTTTTATTAATATAGACCTTTTAAATTTGAGATACAGAGTATAATATTTCATAGCAGTTAACTTGTTGACCCACATGGATTATCAGTGGTTTCAAGTTTCCATCTACATGTGTGGTAATCAATCAATATAAAGACTACTTATCCACATTCACTATTATTTACTTTTGAATTAAATAGTTTGTGCCTCTTAGCTATTGAGGTTTTTGTTGAATTTTAAGGGATGACCCAACATAAAGCCCGTAGGATAATTGTAATAGTATATGAACAATCAAGAAGAATAAGATTTTGAAAAATAATTTCTTTTTATTATATATTCCATTGCACAAGGGAGTAATCAGAGAGTTCTGTTGTGGAGAAGCTTGCCTTCAAGTGGAGGGGGACGTCCATCCTATAGGTGAGGGGGTAAGAAAAAATACAGAAAATATTTAGATATAAGTATTCTGATTATTACAATTTAATGGGCTAATTTTTACGTAATATTATGAATTAAACACGACTATAAGTATTAGCCCCTTTGCGTATTAATGACTCCATGTTGACCGTTGAAGCAATCCAGTCGAACACCGAGTTCCGTCTTCTCAGAGGTACCGAGCTGAGGCCCAGGCTCATCTGGCCTGCGATGTCTGAAGCCTAGAAAGTGGTCGGTTACACTTGGATAAATATATTCTTCAGTTTTAAAATTGAGTGGCGGAGCATTGATTTCTTTCTTATTTGGAATTGAACTGTGAACCTCTTCCATATTGTCATACTCAGTATATCTTTAAACTCCGCATACTGTTAAAATAAAATGTTGGTGGCTTGGTGCAATTTCGATACTGTGATTTCTTTTATTTTTTGTAGGTTGTTTCAAGTAACTTGGCTGCACAATACTGGTTATATATATGACCGACATAATATAAGCAAAGTATGTTCATTTTTTGCTCACTTTATATGCTTGTCTCACAAGCTTTAGAACATCAGTGGCTCGTTTGATACACGGAAACGAATATAGGAGGAATAAAATTTAAGGAGAACATACAAGGAATAACATTACAAGAAAAATGTATTCTATCATTTGGTTTACTTTAATATAATAAGACAATTATGTGTACAAAGACTAATTTGTCCGTATATAATTTGGAAAGCATAATACAAATAAGAGAAGGTACACTTTAATCCTAGCAAATCAATTTTTATTCCCAAGAGGTAAGGAAAACAAATTACAGAGGATGCATAGGAATAGAGACTTCCTCAAAACCAGGGAAAACAATTACTTTAGAATTTCAATTCTTAGGTGGAGTGCCCTCCAAAGTCCAACCTATTTGAATGTTTCTGCCATTGTAATATAGGGGAAAGGAGTTATATTTCTTCCATTGGGATATTTTCCTTATCAAACACCTCGTAAGCTCATTCTATTTTCGTAAGTGATTTTTATACATAATGTGAAGCATTTGGAGACATTTATTCTCTGCAGTCTGTGGGGTTTACTCATGAAATGCAAGATGGTTGGGGATTGGCTACTGATGGAGAAGTTTTATATGGGAGTGATGGAACTTCAGCATTGTATCAAATTGATCCGCATACTATGAAAGGTTCCAAACTTCCATTGTTTGAAAGTCCCTAATGGTCTGTTTGGATAAAATGATTTTAAGTAAATTTGGTGAACTTATGTTTATTAAAGATTGGGTGAAACCTAAGTTAACACAGCTATCTATCTATAGGCCTATAGGGTGATGTTCAAATAAAAAGCTTTTAGGTGAGAAATGAGGCCGCTGCGATGCATAGTGTGGCCATTGCAGCGTGAAATATTTTCAAATTCGCACTAACTTGGAATGTGTCCGTTGATGCCAGTAGCAGCATGATGAGGGCCAATGCAGTGCCATTGCGGCTGGTAGCGGCGTGATGCGGCGCCGTTGCAGGTTTTCTTCGTGACTGCAATATTGCGGCCGCATCAGTTGTTGTGTCTGTCATTTGAAACCCTGGTTGTTGGATTTGACTATATTGCAGTAAAATAGGTTTATGTTTCACCGAAATATGCAACTATGTGTGGTGGCTTTTTCGTAAATACTTTTGAGAAATCCGTGCTACACTTCTCTGGTTCAACATGAAACTGATTTAGTGCAACATCTTTGAATCATAGTGCAATATGAAACTGTTTTAGTGCAACATCAAACAATTTCAATCTTAGTGCAACACAAATCTTGTTCTAGTGCAACATCGTAAATCCAACCGTTGAGATTCATTCTCATTTCTCACGTGAACCAAAACCCCTCTATATATATATTGTTTGGATAATTATAAGATTAACAAAGGTTAATGCAATGAAAGTTTGTTTTGGAATTTGGATCATTGGATATATGTTAGCCTAGGAGAACTTGTTAAAATCATATATAATGAGAGCTTGACCTCTGGAATCCTCTGATATGGAGGTTCTCCAAAACTGAGTCGTTGGAGGCTTTCAAAGGTTCTTTGAAGTAAACTCATGTTCTCTGAAAACATAGGTGAAATCATAATTAAACCTAGAAGAGCTTCGGATCACCTTGAAACAAACTAACAAGGGAAAATCTGTGGTTTTGGGATTAAACCTGCCAACCTGGTTGTTATTGTCTTGCCCTTTGACTGAATTTTGTTTTCTGGAAAAAAACGCAGTGATAAGAAAACATACAGTTGAATATCAAGGACACAAAGTGCCATACATCAATGAGCTTGAGTATGTAAATGGTGAAGTTTGGGCTAATGTGTGGATGGTACAAAACTACAAACCTTCTGTCTCTGATAATTCCTATTACCCGCTTCCTTCCTATATAATGTTCACACTTTTCTTTTCCATCTGCCCTTAAATGTAGTCCTTTAACAGCATTTGGAAATTTAAATTTATAAAAAAATTGGGGACAAAAGGAGTATTTTAATTGTTTTTTTCACTTTACCGCATGCTGGCTGCCATCCCTTAATAATGTTATTTATGGTACCATACAACACATATGTCATTGTGTGTGGCAGGGATTTTTTGAGTTCTGATTTGCTCCACGCATGTAGTGCCCCGTGTGATGTGTGGTACCATAGTGCACCAAGTGTCTGGCACTGCCGCACTAGACTCCTTTTATCCACCCATTTGTTTAATCACTTGCAATGTTCAACTTTCCTATACAGACTGATTGTATTGCTAGAATCTCCCCAAAAGATGGCATGGTGCTGGGATGGATTCTCCTTCCCAATTTAAGGTTCATTTGTTATTTTGTATTCTTTTTTCATAACTTCGTGTCATTTAATGCTATTGGTCCTCAATCTCTTGTAAGCTTAGTATAAAATGAACTGAGCTTTGCTTAAATTGTTTCACAGAGAAGGATTATTAGCAAGTGGGCACACAGTAAGCATTTCTTCATCAGCCCTCCTTGTACTTAGTGATATTGTTTGACATCTTAGAAATTGAATCCATTTTTTATCGACCACCTTGTAGAATATTGATGTATTGAATGGCATAGCGTGGGATGCAGATAGAAGACGAATTTTTGGTAAGCTCCATTTTCTGTTGCTCACATAAAAACAGTACAGTTGTAGTATGCTCGACCCATATCTTTGGTGCATGACAATTGGAAAGTCTAGGGAGATGCATAGTGTATATGAAACAAGAGTCATCTGGACAGTTTTCATAAAGTGAGGATATTTCCATAAATAGAAAACACACAGGTTTGTTTTTTATAAATAAAGGAGCGAATGGAATTATGTTTACTTCTTAAAATGCATATTTGGTGAATGGTTTATTAAAATGGGTGCATTTTACATGAACTAGCAATTATATATACTCTGTATTATTATGAAATATGTACATTCAGTTTTGCTATTTGCTTATTTTCATGTCTTCGATTTTTTAGACGTTTCAACCTTTTTAGACCCAAAATTTGAATTTAGGATGAGTCTTGTTAACCATGTCCCTAGAGCATCTCCAGTTCTCCACCGTTTCATTTGGAGGGCTTGCTTGCAATTTTAAAGCTAAAAGCTTACCATTGGAGCATTGTTTTTCCTTTTGCTTTAGAAAACTAATTAGCCAAAATGAGCTACTAGCTTGAGCAAAGAGATTTATTAATATCACATTATTAATAATAAATGAAGAACAAGTAGTTATAGCTAACCATTGTAATACATTTTAATTTTGCTTCAAATGCCCATGTGGCTAGTCAAGCTCATTTAGCTAACCGTTGGAGATGCTCTTAGGTCATCGGCTGAGGAACTACAATAAGAAAGTTCTGAATTGAGAATATTTTGAAACTACATTTTTGACATGTCTCCATGCATTTGTTTTACATCCCAACACATGAATTATTTTTGTCTTCAAGAGCCCCTAAAGGTAAGGGTGGATACGGTCCTCGTCCTGGGACTGGACTGAGACTGGAAAATAAGTTTCTGCACCGAGACCAAGACTGGACCGATAGGAAAGAGATATTGGGCTTCAATTTTTGGGACCAGGATCGATCGGTCCGGTCCCGGTTCCGGTCCCATTTAATATTTTTTTTTTTTTTGCATTTGAATCGTTGAGAAGCATTTTAAAAGGGGTGGAGTACATTTAAAGCTCAAAAAAGGAGGGGAGGGGTGGGCGATGAAGAGTTTAAAATATACGTAGTATATCAACAAAAATCCGGATCCAGAAATATAAGTCCCATTGGGCTCCATATTTTTTCTCCAAGGGCCGGCCAGTCTGGTACCGGACTGCATCCACCCATACCTAAAGGAGCATTCCTTGGCATTTCTCTTAATTTGTATGGTAAAATTTTCCATGAAGGTTTTAGTGTCAAATTTGGGTAGGACAGCGACTAATTTGGCCCTCTAGCTACACCCGTGGTGGCCTAGACCCACATCAATGATAACTTCACAAATTATATTTGTTCGATTGTTTCTATTTTCTACGCATTATCAAATTATCCAAGTTTCCTGGCTGAATGCAATATATAGATGAGATATTGTTAAGTAGGATACAAAAAAGTTCCAATGGTGGAGTATGCCAATGATTCGAACATGTGACATTGTATACATTCCACTAATAATGTAAGGAAACTCTACATACAGTGACTGGTAAACTATGGCCAAAACTTTATGAGATCAAGCTGCATCCATTGAAGACCCCATTTCAGGGAGACATCAAGATGATGTGCATTCCATCAAGAGTCCATTTTTGACTTTCATGTATATCAATAGTAGATTTTTTCATTTCTAAAAGTTCATGGGAATTGTGAAATATAGTCAGCGCACTCTGGTTGTTTGTTGTTGTCTTGTTGAGGTTGTTATAGAATTGATAATAAATATATCTAAAAGCACTACATGTTTCAACACAAATTTAATGTAGACGTATAAATAAATTTTATGAGAACTTGATTTTAAAATAAATAAAATCACGGGACTTTTCGGGCCAGTGCCCAAGTCAACCCCTTTTAATTAAGAAAGAATGACAAAAGTATCACTTAGGGACTTTGAATGGACAAAAATATGATCATTTTACACTTGGGACAAAAATGTGACCATCTCTACAAAAAAAGCCTAGCTGCCCAGCCCAAACGGAATTGAAATCATCCACATTCTGATTCAGCCACAATTTTGAGCCTTCTTTCTGTCGCGGCACCAGACGTCCTCCACCTACGTCACCCTCCTCCGAACAGACGTAGAACCACCGACCTCCTCCCTTGAGCAGCAGATAATCGCCGCTTCTACTCCCATGGCCGTCACATCCTCCACTTCCCTAGTTGTTTCTGTCACCTTCGCTGCTGCTGCCACTTTCATCGTGGACTTCTCCATCGTCGTCGCCCTGGCACTTGAATTGGCTTCGCCCCTAGCTGCTTTGTTTTCTTCTCTCATTTTGGCATCGTCCAGATCCTCGATGATGCTTCGAAGGTGGTGCAGTGATGGTGAAGGGTTTGGTGTTGCAAGGGCTGGAGTTAGGCACCTAGCTAGAGAGTTAGGGAGATGGGATTGGGGACAGGGAGATGGGGCAGGGAGCTGGGGAGATGTGACTGGGGCAATGACATGGGGCTGGGGCTGGGACTAGGGGTGGGTTGGAGCAGTAGGGGGTAGGGGTGTACGGGATGCAGTATTGGCAGTGGGATAACTGCAGATTTGGTTGAAATTTACGTTTTATCAGAAAAAGTCATCGGGAAATTTTCCGGTGATCATAGTGACATGTTTCACAGCGCCAGTGACATCGGTGGCGGCGGCAGTGACATGGGCATTGGCGGCAATGATACTGGGGTTGACGTCAGTGACATCGATATATGATGGTGGCGGCAGTGACACAGACATTGGTGGTAGTGAGATACGGAAAAAGTGACATAAAAATGTGACAGTGACATAACAATCTGGTAATGACACAAAAAATGGCAGTGATATCATGTATTTCCATATATGTGACCTTCTTAATCACATTTTTGTCTTTTTAAAAAAGTGGCCACATTTTTGGAAATTAGCTTCAATTTGATACTCCCTCCGTCCCATTGGACTTTGTTAACTGTCCTTTTTTTGTTGTCCCAAAAAACTTTGCCATTTCCTATTAAAGCAATTAATTTGTGGTTCTGCACATTTTTCTCTCATCTGCATAAATCTCAATCACACAGTTTTTACTATTCTTATTTCTCACCTACTTTGCACTTGGCAAAGTCCACCGGGACGGATGTAAGTAATATTTAAGGAAAAAGCCCTTTAATTAATATTTTCCTCACCATATTTACATTGTACAAGTATTGAGATTTGAAGCCATTAATGGAGCTTCAAGTTTGCTAAGGTAACAGAAGAAGACAAGAGCTAAAGAGAGAAAGGGGATTCATGCATATGGAGGGAAACCTCCTATTTAGGAAGAGAAATGCTAGGGGTACCCCATTACCCATTTTCACACATTGTCAGTCAACGTAAACAAAGTTGTTTGTATACATACAACTTTGTAATTCTGAACAGAGTTGTCTGTATACAGATAACTTTGTCTGCATAGATAGACTGTGCGAATGAGGTACACAAAATGGGGTACACCTAACTTTTTTGTATTTAGGAAGAGGGGGAGGGAGTACAACCTTACCCCAATAGCCTAAATTGGACAAAAATGGCATCATTAATCGGGCTCTGTATGAGTAGTTTATCGACTTCAGGAACAGTAGTAAGCCGAGATCCAATATCCTTGCTGTCCTCCTCCTCGGTGTTGTCGTAATCCAACTCTTTGTCAATTTTGGGAATAATTCTTTTTATTTAAAGATCACTTTTATTGTTGTGACAAGAGTGACATCATTTGTTCATCGAGCATGACACCTCTCGGGTCATATATCATAATTAGCCTCCCAAGTCCCAATCATCATAGCTTTGTGATGAAGATATTGCCTCAATGTGGCGTTTTTGACGGAGCCACTGATATGCACTAATTAGTAGTGCATAAATGCATCTTTTTATGTTTGATTTGTGTGGATTGTTTACCATTTTATTTAGTTTGTAAACAATTGTGTGATTTTAGTTTTAATGGTATTTTAGTTCTCATTTGTAAATTGTAAAGTAGAGTTAGGATTTATGGTGTTGGAAAGGAAGACTTTGAAGTGAAGAAAAATAATTATTGGCTGCCCAGGACAATCACCCGGTCAGGTGAGGCATTGCACCCGGTCGGGTGAGACTTGAAATGCGAATCTGCTCAGGAAATTACATCACCCGGTCGGGTGAAGTATTTCACCCGGTCGGGTCTTACTTGACCCGAGATATTTTAATGTACCGAAGATCACCAGAACGTGGAGGATATCTGATTTTGACCGGACCCGGTCGGGTGGGCATTTGACCCGGTCGGGTACCCGGCCCAAGGTGTTGAAAAACACCTATAAATAGCACACTTTTTCTTCACAAAAAAATCATCCCTTCTTCCATACTTTTAAGCTCAGTTTAGAATAGCATTTCTTTATATTTTTCTAGCTATGTTTAGTCTCCAAATGAGGAGCTAAACTTCCCATTCTTGGTGTTGCTCTTGAAGCTTGTTGATTATTAAAGTTGTGAGTTATTTTCTTAACCTCTTCCCTTGAATATTAATTATTAGTTCTTTCCTTAATACTATCTCTATATTAATGTTGAAGAGTGTTGCTAAGATGACAATTAGTTAACATCTTGACATTAGTTAGAGTAGTATTTTCTTCCTCTATATTAATGTTGGGGAGTGTTGCTAAGATGACAATTTAGTTAACATCTTGATATTAATTATAGTAGGATTCATCTCCTTTAATAATATTCTTCCTTAAATATTAATTAATACCTATTCATATTTCATATTAATATTTTGAACATTACTTAAAGGATCAACTAGTTTTGTTTCATATATTAATTATTACTAGAAACGATCGACGAACCGATGGTTAATCGTTGATGGTTTCACAAGTAAGTAACTTCGGTTTATTAATGCACGGTCGTAGTTGATAAATTTAAGAGGGATTAATTTTGTTGGTTAAACCGAAACCGTTGTGTTGAGGTTATCAATCTCAATTGATTTCATCAAGGAGTTAAGAGATTAAATACTACTATCAAATCGGTATATGACGGTGTTCTATACTTGACTAATAGTAAGGGTTATTAATGAACGGTCATTGTTAATAACTACCATCGATGAATTGGATATACTCCTTGATTGAGTATTCGAGAGGGAATAAGTTATAGATATAACAATGATCGACTAAAATATATCAACAAGTGGAAAGTAGCAATGCCAAGTTCTTTTATCTTTGAATTAAAACACATATAGGTTTTTCATCTTAGTTTTTAAATAAATTAAATCATTCAACACCAAAACCCCCACTTTTATTTACTAGTTTCATAAAAAGAGAATTATTCCTTTCCCTGTGGATACGAACTCTACTTCACCTATACTACGTATAGGTGGTAGTATTAAATTTATTTTGACGTACCGTGACAAAGTGCCCGTCAGCCACAAAAAAGGATGAGATGGAAAAATATCTTTTTTTCACGGCGGCGTTGGAGATTATATTACCTAAATCAATAGGTTTTCTATCTCCGGACATGTTCAAATGTAACTAATAAAAAGTAACTAATATGATAATGTGACCAATATTAAAATGTAACTAATGCGATAATGTGACTAATATTAAAATGTAATAATTATTAAAATGTGACTAATATTAAAATCTAATAAATATTAAAATGTGACTACTATTAAAATGTAATAATTATTAAAATGTGACTAATATTAAGATCTAATAAATATTAAAATGTGACTAATATTAAAATCTAATAAATATTAAAATGTGACTACTATTAAAATGTAACAATTAAAATGTGACTTATGTTAATATAATAATGTAACTACTATGAAAATGTGGCTAATATGACTATATATTAATAATGTGATGAGAATACTTTATATATATATATATATATATATATATATATATATATATATATATATATATATATATATATATAGGGTTGGGTTCTAATGAGAAGACATCTTAACGTGAGAAGTGAGAAGTTACACATTTACCTAATTCTGATGCATTTTTTTGCTAATCTGATGCACTTTTTATGATGGCAGAAAAGTTCTGATTAATTACGGAAATGCCACCGCGTCTAGCATCATTTTTTTTAATATTTTTTGCACTTTCCCGTGCACGTTTTTGCTAATCTAATGCACAATTCTTAATTTGAACGCACCAGATGCATTCTCACTTCTTACGATAAGCACTCTTCTCATTTGATCCTTATTATATATATATATATATATATATATATATATATATATATATATATATATATATATATATATATATATAAGAAAGTTCATGTCCGGAATTCCGGACAGGAACCACCGTCCGGACGGCAGCGTTTGACCGCCTTCCCGATCGACTTTTTCGATGAAATGTTTGTGGCATGTTGTTCATCAAGTCTAGTTTATCCACAAAAAATTCAGCTAAAATTCAATCGGGAAGGTCGTCAAATAATTTTTGGAAGTTAACTGTATTTTATATGTATATTTTAGCGCAGTTATCTTCCAAAAATCATTTGACGGCCTTTCCGGTTGAACTTTTAGCTGAATTGTTGTGTGGATGAACTAGACTTGATGAAGAACATGCCGTAAAAAATTCATCAAAAAATTCTACCGGGAAGGACCCCAAAAGCCATCGTCTGTACGGCGGTTCCGATCAGGAATTCCTAACCGGAAGAGTACCCTCTCTCTCTCTCTCTATATATATATATATATATATATATATATACATATATATATAATATTAATTGTATATAATATATAACTGTACTACTATGAGATGAGTATTATAATTATATTTAATACTTGAATATATATAGTAAATATTCAAATTTAATTAGAGATGAGTAGTTCAACTATATGAATAGTTTAATTAGTATACATAATATATTATAAAATGTCAATAACATATATTACTTTCGCTCCAAATTATTTTGCAAAGTCAACATTTTTTAGTCAATCAATGTTAAAGTTAAATTCTCATTATTGATAATTAATTCAATTTTAATAATTAAAATTACATATTCAGAAACTACATTAAAATCTATATAAGGTTATAAAATTCAAATTTAATTAAAATCTGACATCCTAATTAAGTGAATCAATTGAGTATGTTTGACCCAAAAAGTCAATTTTGCAACACAATTTGGGATGGAGGAAGTATTATATAACTAAACTAATAGTAATAGATATACATACATATAGTTATGGGTAATTGGGTATGAAGTTATAAAATTAAATAATAGAGTAGTAGATATAAATATATGTAATTATGAGTATGAAGACATAAAATGAGATTAAGAGTAGTAGAGTGAAGAATGAGAATTGAGAATTTGAGACTGGAATGGAATAAACGTGAGAAAAAAAAAATTGTAATTTGAGGTTTTTATAGAAATTGTAGACCCCCTCCCACCCCACCCCCCTCCCTCAAACCCACTCCCTAACAGCTATATAACCATTTGGCAACGGTTTTATGCCCACCCCACGCCCTCCTAATTTTTTAAAAGGAAATGACCGAGTTGGGACTACCGATTTGGACCGGCCGATTAAGTCCCAAATTTTGTAACCTGAGACCGAATACCCCTAATGCTATGTTGACTACAGGTCCTGAATTGTGACTGAATAACAGATCGGTCCGACACAGTGCCGGATCCGGTTCCAGACAGGGTCCGACCGCTAGGTCAGATCCACCCCTACTTGAACCCGTGTCCTCTTGTGGTCCTTGTTTTGGGGCATTGGGTTCAACAACGGGTTAGCACAAATACCACTGGTAGCCCAGGTAGTGTAACTGGTTCGAGACTCACGCTCGGTATGCAATTCGGCCCAATCGAGGCGTCCCACCCAATCCCTTCCCGGATGGGATGGGATGACACTCACGATTTTCTAGCTTGTAGCTTTGTCATAAGAAGATCTTTTCTACCAAGAATTTGGAGAGAAATCAAGAATTGGCAGGAAACGCATTTAATACACCGAATATGGGAGATTTTATGCTTGGGGTTAGATAATCAGGGCTCGCCATGTCACCTCAATATCTACCTCATAGTAGTATAGATACTTACATTTATTTGGATATACAGGGTTGACAAACTTGCATTCTTAAACTTAGTCTCTCTCCACATCTCTATCTCTACGTAAATTCTCAACTTAGATTAGAAGTTGGGAGATTTCTCAAAACAGGAATAAATGCAGATTGAAATTCCAAAATATGACTACTATGTTTTTATTCCCTAAATAAGACTAACGTGACAGTATTTACCGTCATCTTATAGGCATGACTGCCAAATAGTTGAAGTACAGTGCATTTAAAATGACATTATTTATCACAATTAATGGCAGCATTTTTCAATCATGATAGTATTTTCATAGATGACAGTAACAACTCATATTTCAGGAAGATAAACATAATATAGTAGTCCTATTTTAGAATTCCAAACCACATTTACTCCTATTTAGGATAATTTCCCTTAGAAGTTAGAGAGTGAGGCTCGATAGGATGCGTTGTAATCGATCTACATTTACAATATTTTCATAAAAAAATTTATATTTTAATTAGATATATATGTGTTCGCCCCCCTTAACTTTTAGTTTTCAAAATTAATACATAGTCTTACATAATGTAAAACTTAATTGGAGATTTAAAAGAAGAAATGTTTAAAATAATTTACATACTTAAGCAAATAAACAATATAATAGAACAACTCTGATCATTGGGATATTTATCATATAAAAATTCCTAGTTTTGTAATGTTTAGTTATCTTTATTAGATAATAATTAGTACTCGATTTTGTAAAAGATCAAATGATATTAACTACCAGACACACTAGTTAAATACGGGAGTAGTTTTTAGATCATGTGATTCCAAAATATAATTTTTTGTTGACATTAAAAATCACCACGCTACACTAGCGGAAAAAAATTCTCCATGCTACACTAGTGAAAATTTTTCACCCTTGCACTCATGAAATCTTTGATCTATTTTCATAAAAATAGAACCCCGTGTACTTTATCTTTATTCTAAGCTTGTATTGTCTGGGACCAGGGGATCTGGGCTGATGTGTCTACATATTTTTTTGAAGTATTTACAAAAATGTCAGTTGACATGTTTGCATATTTCAATGCAATATGATACTCTTTTACAACAATTTAGTTAAGAAATTTTTACATAAATATTACCAACAGTATATGGGTTACAAAAAAGTGACTATTAATATATATGGAACACTACATATGGCATCATTGGAGTAAGTTAGGGAAAAAAGTCATATTTTTTTAGTGGGATTTAAAGTAGTAATATTTGTATAATTTTTTCTATAGTTAAATCCAACGGCTCAGATTTGTGTGTGAATTGAGAATGAATTAATATGAATGTTTGCAGTAAAAATAACATCTCCTAAGAACTTTTTTTAAGGGTTCACGTGTACGGGGAAGAAACAATCCTAACTTCAGCCCGTGAGTCTGAGAGCCAAATAGCAACTGTGTAAAAAGGAAGCAAACAAAAGAACGCAGACACATGCAGCCCCTACCCTACCCTCATTTTATAAAGCAATTCATGCACTCTCAATAATCTATCATTCCAACCGCACGGATAGCTCAGTTGGTTCAGTGGTGGGAAATTTGGACCAAATGACCAAGGTTCGAAACCCGCAGCGACCGTGTGGAGGTCACTGAACCTGAAATAAGGCTGGACCTCTGGTGCGCACAGGAAAAAGACCTACCATCATTGGACCGACTGAATCACCGTGATTAACATCCTCCCAAAAAACCTGTCGGGTCGGGGTATGGGGGGCTCCTGAGGTGTGGGAGATTCCACCTTTTGGACCAAATAATCTATCATTCCGTTCCTTATAATGTGTTGGATAAAATAATGCATGTTTTCTACCCACACATTAATCGCCCAATCTTCAACAAACCATTCCTTAGCTTATAAAGACCTCTATTGCAAAGCTGGTTCGGATTATGTGTAATTTGGGTTCTATCTGGAATCTGGATCCAAATTGGACCGATTGAGACATGCAAATTTAAGATTAAAATTAAAAGTAAAGTATCAAGTTTAATTTCAAAAAGATATCATGAAAGTGAAAGAGCCAGTCTATTTTATTTAAATTTGATGTGTAAACATAGCTGTTAATTTAAGTGGACAGAAATGTTTCACATTTTGACGTGTAATCAAAGATGTGAATGGATAAAACACCGGCCCCTTCCATTCCTTACAACTTCGCAAAATTCAAGTGAAACAGGAGTATTAAAGATAAACTGTGTGATTTAGAAAATTTCCGAAATATGAGCTTGAAAATTTCAAAGTACTGTGATATTTAAAGATTGATATTGCTAAAACATGACATCAACTATTTAGAGAGTAAAAACTTGTTAGTTCTATTTTTTTGAATACACGAACTCGATCATTTAGTTCTATTTAGGACAATTTCTTTTATACTTCGTACATAACAATTGCCAAACCGGGTCTTAAATTTGTTTAGAACTAGTTTATACATATATAATATGATAGTACATGACTACATGATGACATACCCCAAAATTTGTTTAATTTTGGGGACTGAATCGAGCTAAAATAATACTCCGTAAATGTATCTAAACAGTTTCAAAAAAAAATTGTATTTCAAGTACGTACTGCAATATTAGGATGGGGTAACTAAAAATAGACTAATACGAAGTACCTAGTAGCCAGTTCTCAAATTTCGAAAAGATATCTTAATTAAAAAGTTCATAAATAGAACTATCATTATGTTATTTCGAAAATAGGATTCATTCATTTCAATTTTGGGAAGTTTTAATCTAACTTGTTCTTTTTTATAAGACCAATAAGTTCTATTTGAGAAATAAAACATAATTAGGCCTTTATTTGAATTTTCTATTTTTTTAAACTTACAATAAAGAAATTTTCTGTTTTTTTAAGAATAAAGAAATGTTTTCTTTTTTCTTTATAAATATTTATTGCTATATCAATATACTTTCGGTTAATCTACATTTTCCCATTATTTTGTCCCAAATGCTCTCCAAATTAAACGAAACAAGTCCAAAATTTGGTATGAGGAATTATTCATTTAGCTTTGGGATTATTACATTATTGAGATATGGACTTATAAATCCCTAAACAAAATAAGTAAAGAATAATACCAATTTAACAATAAATACATTTGAATATAAAAAAAAATTAAAATTACTTCTTGGAGCTTGAAACCCTTCTGATCAAAACCAACAGGCAAAGCAGCCGGTACAACACAAAGAAGCCAATCAGCACGTAAATGTTAGTCCACCGTTGCCTTTCATGGAGCCCTCTACTCTTTAGCGCATCTCCGCCGCTGAACATGCACGCCCTGTGCTCCTCATCGTACCAGATCAAACACCTCGACGCCAGGCACGAGTACTCGTTAATCAACAGCGCGTCGAGGGCATATTTGTACATTGAGAAATAATGCATCATCTTCCAGAACTTCGGCAGCCTGTCTTTGGATATGAAGTAGCCGGAGAACAGGAAGAATCCGGCCAGCAGCGCTGTCACCAGCGACGTCCCGGCGATGAAATTCGGCGCCACGGAGCTGAGGAAGAGCACGAACGAGTTGGCCATCAGAACTATCACCCAGATCACGAGGACGAAGAACCCGAACGCCTGCCACGTGGCGCAAAGCCCTACGAGGAAGTAGACCGACACGGCGTAGAGGACGGCGACGGCGAGGAGGTAGGGCAAGAAAACCAACGTGTTGGCGATGATGTACGAGGATAGACGGTAGACCCCACTAGAGGTCTCCCGGAGTACTATCGGCCGTTCGTTGATGAAGATCGGAAGCGTTTCTGTAGTAGATGAAAGCAAGAATGTAAGCGTGAACGCAAAAAGCCCCAACCTTTTCTGAATGCCGGACTTTCCAAACCCTATGTTTATGTAAACAGTCCCCAAAACCAGACCCACTCCTAAAGCTTGTAATGTGTTGGCCAATAGAAGCTGTCTTGTTCTGAATATTATCATCCAAAACCTCTTATAAAGAACCCTAATTTCGTGAAACCTAGTACTCCTGTAGCTTACATTCATAACTATCTCGGACGACAATCCCAAAGACGGTTTGGTTGTGGGAATTGCAAGAGGTGTTTGGTTGCTTACATAGAGTTTGTTGAGTGCTTCCATGGCATACTCTAAGGAGTTTAGCTGGGGTGGAACGGTGAGGCCATTAGAGAGTAAGAAAGCTTCAAGAGAGGAAAGGGTACCATGGTGGACGACGGCGCCCTTTGAAAGCAAGAGGATTTTGTCTATGGTGAAGAGGATTTTGAAGCTCGGTTGGTGGATGGAGACGATGACCGTGCGGTGACGCGTGTCCGCTATCGACCTGAGCGTCTGCATTACGTTGTAAGCAGACTTACTGTCCAACCCCGAGGTTGGCTCGTCCAAGAGCAGAACCGCAGGGTCGTGCAAGAGGCTCAGTCCGATGGACACGCGCCGTCGCTCTCCGCCTGAGAGTCCGTACCCGAGCCTGGTGTGTTCTAGATGGGCCAGGCTGAGGTCGGACAACAGGGCAGAGACGATGGCCGAAATGTTGGGCGCTTTCGGGTGGAGGAGGTTGGCGGAGAAGGCGAAAGTCTCGGAGACGGTTAAGAGCGGGAGGGAGGCGTCGTGCTGGGGAACGTAGGCGGAGAGCTTGCGGAAGGAGGACGGGTTGAGGGGGGCGGAGTTGAGGAGGAGGGTGCCGGAAGTAGGGGACGTCCGGGCTGCCAAGATGTCAAGTAAGGTTGACTTTCCGGCGCCGCTGGGGCCGACGATGGCAAGGACCTGGGAAGGGTGAGCCATGAGAGAAACATCTCTGAGGATGTAATTAGTGGGAGAGGAGGCTGGCTTGAAGAGAAGATGGAAGGTGGAAGAAATGGTGGTAGGTTTTGAGTAGGATATGGAGCAGGCGGTGAGTGTGTAGGTTTTGATCGGCGGCGGCGGTGACGGTGGAGATGAAGAGGAGGATTCAGCCATGAATGATTGTGGATTGGATGAATTATTAGAAAGTGGTTAGTCGATCTAGGAGCTACTCTGACGTGAATAAAGGCATGCAGAGATTATTGGATAGGACGACATGTGAACTCTTCACATGCGCAATCACGGACTCCTTGGTCCTTACCATGGAGTAAAAGGAATATGCATTTTTTTTTTTGGAAAATTAGTACGATTTAGCGCTTTTATATCTAAATTAAGTTTCTAGTTTTACTTCATGTACATTTACTAATAATAAAAAATAAAACTCTGAAACAAGAAAGGACTTGATATCAAGAGGACCTAGAGCATCAAACTCATTCAGGAAAACCTCGTTATAGGGGCTAACCACTGACTAAGCCTACAATTATTAAGACATTTTTATATTTGATTATTTCCTTAGTTTGTGTTTAAATATTCTTATGTATATTGTGTGTGTGTAAATATAATTATAACTATAATTATATCGTCACGGGTCGGGTCCAAAACCGGCTGGAACTTAAACATCCATATCCGACCCATTTTTCTCTCTCATGGACCGGGTTCGGATCCAGATACAGGAAACAGTTCTAAATTTAGATCCATACCGTCAAATATAGTGTACGATTCGGATCGGGTCTGTGTCTAGACTAGACCCATTGACAAGCCTAGTCTGATTGTATTATTCGAGTACCAAAAAATAACATTACAAAAATATGCACCTAATAAACCAAAGTTGGAAGTAAATAAATCAATGAAAAATGAGAAACTGGCATCAAAGTTGGCCTCTTTTACAAATTTTGTACAACCATGCCCCGCACAGCTGGATGGTCTGCTTCAGACATTCTCTTCTACCAATATTAATGATAGAGATTTAGACATCACACATTAGATCATACAGTATGTGGAGTATGCTTATAGTCACGGCCTCTATATAGTCCGCTTGTAGTTCTAATACTCCGTATGTTTAGTACATTTATAAGAGGCCAATAATGTTTAATTTGTCACACTTTTTTCCACCTTCAATTTGTTTTGCAAGGGTCTTCTAATGTAATATGCCTTAGATTTACAAAGAAAAAAGGACCATACCTCATCCCGAATGACATTGTCACCCAAAAACCCGCTAGAAAGTTTTCGGGAGAAATCGGAGAATACAAATTGAGCTATGATCACAGTAAAAGAGATTAGAGTTCCAACCCAAGTTTTTACTTAGAGTTAAAAATCAGGATATCTCACTTATAACATTGTCTTCCTACCAGGTGAGCTACGCACCTGACAATATGTCTTAGATTTACAAAACACTTAATCGTAAATTTTAAAATGCAAGAGCCACTACTACATTTTTGGGTCTTTTGTAACAGAAGAATTCGTGACCATTGATCCAAAAAACTGTTATCGTAACTTTTAAAATGCAAGAGCCACTACTACACTTTTGGGTCTTTTGTAACAGAAGAATTCGTGACCATTGATCCAAAAAACTGTTACATTCGACTTATTGTAATAGTTTCTCGTTTTTAATTTCGGAAAAAATAGAGTGCATTTTTACAAGAGTTTATAAATGATTAATAATGACTAAATAATGAAAGTTTTTACTTGAATATTACAAGTAAATAATGAATTACCACAAAAATGATACTCCGTAGATTATATTAGATTTCCGAAAAAGCAATTCAATGATTAATACACAATTAACATCTAGTCATCTCAAAAATCTAAAAACACTCTGTACTTCATATCAAATATGGAGTAGCAACTTCTCCTATCACCTTAACCGGGTTAGCGATGCCTTATCTAACAAAATTATAATATAGAATGCGAGTTAGTACCCTTAACTTATGTCAATACATTTTGTGCATGACAAGTTATGCATTGCTTTTAAAAAATGAAACCTTACCATTCTCTCCTAATGTTTATATTCCGTTGGTCAATTTTCCTAAACTCCCCCATAACATGTTGCTCTCTACCATCGTAGCAGTTTTAAGACTAGCTCATGGATTTATATATATAATATGAGTAGAAATTACTCCAAATAGGACTAAAATTATGACAAAAACTCAAAATAGGACTTACTATGTTTTTCTTTTCAAAAAATGACCATATTAGTCCTATTGGAAACATACCTATTTTTTCATTTCATTCTTACTCTTCCTTTAAATATGAGTTAATTAAATATTTAATTCATTATAAATTCGAAAAAAAATTCAAAAATTCGTAGAAAAATAATAAAAAAACTTATAAAAAATTTATAAAATAATTTTTTTTTTAATTTTTAATTTTTTTAGAAAATTAATAAAAAATAGTAAAACTCCATAAAAAAATAAAAAAAATATGGATGACTTTCCCACCGCCTGTACTACCTCCCTGCACCACCATCTCCTGCCGGTGAAAAAATGTCATTTTCCCTAAAATCTGCCATTTTTTTCTGAAAATGCCAAAAACATGACATTTCTCTTTGAGAATGCCAACATTTTCATTGTTTTCTGCCATAAATATGGCATTCATAATGAACTTGGCATTTTTTCCCCTGGTGACTAAAGGTGGTGGTGCAGAGGCGGAAGACACGGCGGTGAATTTTATTTTATTTTTTGAGTTTTTATTTTTTTTAAAAATAATTTTTATTTTATTTTTTTGAAAACTAAATAAATAAATAAATAAATTATTATCTAAATAATTTTATTAAGTTTTTATTTTTTTAGGAATTTTGATTATTTATCATTATTTTATTATGAATTAAAACATTTCAATAGCTATGAGGGTATATTTGTCCAAGACACACATAATTAGTCCTATGAAAACATAGTTTATTTTTTAGTCTTATTTGTGCAAAGTGAGTGATTTTTAGTCCTATTTTGATAATTAACCTTTATAAAACAAACCAAACTTTAGCTCATGGAGTATATTTTACTCAATAACCTATTTCTGGCACAATAAAATCTTCAATCATGATTTATGCGAATGAATTTTCTTATATCTCCTTTTGGGTTCGAGACTTGAAGGAAATAAATAGGAAGATGAAGATCACTTGGGTCAATTTTGATGATAATTTACTTAATTAAATATTTTATATTATAGTATTATATGTATATGTGAGAACTATCAAATAAGCCCTTAAACTTTCATAAAAAGTGCAAATAAGCCCTTTTACATGAGGCTTTGCCCGGCTGTCGCCATTTGGGGAGATTTACGGTGGAATTTTTTGATGAAATTTTTTGAGCATCTTCTTCATTAAATATAGTTTACTCATACCAAATTTCAACTAAAAATTCAACCGGGAAGGAAGTCAAATGTATTTTTGAAGATAACTGCGCGGTTAGACAGCGCAGTATATTTTAGAAAATAATTTGACTGCCTTCTAGATTGAATTTTTAGCTGAAATTTGGTATGGGTAAACTAGACTTAGTGAAGAAAATGCTCAAAAGAATTCATCAAAACATTAAACCAAAAACCACCCCAAATGGCGACCGTCGCACAAAGCCTTCTGTAAAAGGGCTTATTTGCACTTTTTATGAAAGTTCGAGGGCTGATTTGATTGTTTTCCCTATGTATATATAATTAGATTCTAATGAGAAAATGGTCTTAGGAGAGGAATGACAATAAATCTGAACCGTTAGATTGTATTATGTGAAATTGAATGTGCATTAGGTGAAACTGAAATGTGTATTAAGTGAAATTGAAAAGTGCATCACAAATGGTACAAAACAATGACATTATGTGAAACTGAACTGTGCACTATGTAAAACTAAAATGTTAATGTGGTGAAACTCAAATGTGAAGAATAAAAGGTGTGATGTGGTGACATTTTTGTACCTTTTATTCTGCACATTTCAATTTCACCTGATGCAAATTTGAGTTTTACCTTTTATTCTACACATTCCAATTTCACCTAGTGCACATTTCGGTTTCATCAAATGCACAATTCAATTTCACATAATACAATCTAACGGTTCAGATTCATTATCATTTCTCTCCTAACAATGTCCCTTTTCACTGGAACCGCTCCTTATATAGATAGTAACTTTTATTGTAATTATTTACTAGGGTGTATACCTCATTGTACTCTTATGGATATGTACGATAAAGTATCATTCATGTTGACTTCATTTACTGGTAAGGTATGTGTCCAACCCAATTATAGAGAGATCAATCTGAAGTAGACTAAAAAATTATCTCTTAACTTTGTAGAATACTTGTAGTTGGAAAAGTTTTTTTAATCTTCAAAATTGATCACCTATGCATCTACCAGCTCAATCCTTACATAATATAAGATATGATGTCTAAAAACACTATTGTCACAATTCATAATAAAAATATACTGCCTTTACAACTATTTCATATGTTTAAATGGAAAGATATAATAAACTCATAGAATCCCACGGTTTTAAAAATATGGACACATCATCCATATAACAGTTGGTGGACTAAAAATATAATTGATTTAATTAATCTTTTACAAAAAAGTAGGACAATTTCGTACATTATTTTAAAAATCTCACAAAAATCTCACATATTACTCCCTCCGTCCCATAGAGAGGTTCCCGATTCGGTTTACGATGTTTGACTGACAATAAAGCAACTTGATATCTGTTCACACTCTGATTATTTTTAGTAAATAAAATTTACATATTCGGAAACTACATTAAAAATTTACAAAGTCTGATCAAGAAAATATTAATTTGATAAACAATTGATATATAAAGCAAAATATTAAGAATGATTTAAGTTGACCATGTGAATAGTGGTTTGGAACTTTTGAATGGAAAGGAGGTAGTATTTACAAAAAACATTATTTTTACATTAGTACTTGGCAAAAGCTCTCGCGCCTTGCGCGATGAAACACTAGTACTTAAAAATAAGTGATAATTTAGCGTGATTCTAGAGAAATTACTAAATAGTAAAAGTTGGTGGTGCTTGAGAAAAAAAGTTCTTTTGAAAAAGTAAAAATGGACAGTGTTTGGTAAAAAAATGTATACGAGAAAATCTGAAAAACAATTTAAATTCACTAGTGCAAAATCGTCAGTCAGAGGCGCTTCAAATGACTCACGTGCGGCGCTTTGAAGCGCCTCTAAAACATGTGCCGCAAATCTCAATTGGAGGCGCTTTTTAGACTGGAAGCGCCTCTAATATTTAAAAAAAAAAA